ACATTCTATCTTTTGGCCAATCAATGGCTCAAACAATTTATTTACAAGTCTTTGGAAGGTTGCCCCGGCATTTTTTAATCCGAAGGGCATGACCTTGTAACAGTACAAGCCGAGCTCGGTTATGAAGGCACTTTTTCTCTTCATCAGTTAGGTCCATCCTGATCTGATTGTAGCCCGAGTAGGCGTCTAAAAATCTCAGCAACTCATGCCCCGAGGTCGCGTCCACTAGGTGGTCAATCCTGGGACGTGGGAAGCAGTCTTTTGGGCAAGCTCGGTTCAAGTCGGTGTAGTCGATGCACATGCGCCATTTACCGTTAGCCTTTTTCACCAGAACGGGGTTGGCCACCCAACTCGGGTAATGGACTTCCCTGATAAACTCGGTTGCAAGGAGCTTCCCGACCTCCTCGTCGACTGCCCTCCATCGCTCTAGGGCTAGGTTGCATTTCTTCTGTCTAACAGGCCAAACTATAGGATCGGTATTAAGTTTATGAGTTATGATGCTAGGGTCTATGCCGGGAATTTCTACCGCAAACCATGCAAAAACATCTAAATTTTCAAGTAAAAAGCGTACCAGTTTAGATCGCAGGGGCTCCTTAATGGAAGCACCGATCTGAAGAGTTCGGGTTGGGTCTTCCACCGAGGCCGGGATGGAGACGTTCTCTTCTGTGTGTGCAGCTCTCTCTTCGCTTTGCTCCGTAGGTCGTTCCAAATCGAGGTCATCGGCCACCTTGGTTTTTCCCTTAAGGGTGGCGACATAGCATTTGCGAGATTCAAGCTGGTCACCTCATGCTACCCCGATGCCGAAGTCCATGGGGAACTTCATGGCCAAGTAGTAGGTGGACACCATAGCCCGTAAGGCATGGGTAATTGGCTGACCTACTATGGCGTTATACAGGGAGGGGGTTGCAACCACCAAGAAGTCGTGGTTGAGCCTCACTATGCTAGGCCAGGTGCCGACTTCCACAGGTACTGTTACCCTTCCCAGGAGCCGAACTTCCTCTCTGCTGAAGCCTACCAGGGGAGTGTTCGCGGGCTTTAGGTCACACTCTTGAAACTGGAGTTGGTCGAAGGCCGCTTTGAAGAGGATGTCTGCTGAGCTGCCCGAATCGACAAGGAAGTGCCTAACTTCGAAGTCGTTGATCTTCATCTTTATGACGAGCACGTCGTCATGGGGGTAGTGGACCCCATGCACATCGTCCTCTGTGAAGATGGGGTTTTCTGTCCTTGGTCGCTTCGGTGGGTTCCGATCTTCCCAGGCAGTCTCGCGAGCTGATGCGCGAGCTGCTGCTGGGGTGCAGCCCGCCACAATCGAACCTCCAACTATGACATGGATGGTCCCCCGAACTGGTCTCTCTTTGAGGGGCTGCTTCTATGGCTATTCCGCTTGCCTGCTGGACTCGGGAGCGTCTCTACTTTGCTCCCCTTGTCGACCTGTTTTATTATTATTATTATTACTTTGTACAAAATTTCTCAAATATTCGCGACGGATGAGTTCTTCTATCTCATCGCGGAGGTTTTTACAACTTTCGGTACTATGACCGTGATCTTTATGGAAGCTACAATACAAATTTTTATTCCTGGTGTTAGGGTCGGCCTTTAGTTGAGGTAGCCACTTCACGTACGGAGCGTCCTTGATTGTCATAAGGATCTCAGCCCGTTTTGTGTTGAGGGGCATATAGTCCCTTTCTGCCGCTGGAGCTCGGAAGGGTTGGGCTGGCCTTGTCCACCGAGCTATGTCCTTCTTCCTGCTGTCGCCTTGAGACGGGGGTTCAGGCTTCCTCTTTCTTTTTTCTGGGGCCTGCTCGCTCTTCTGGTTGATCTCCTCCTCTATTCCTATGAACCAATCCGCGAGCTTAAGGAACTCGGTCACGGTCTTGGGGTGGTTGACAACTACGTGCCACTTGAACTCTTTGTGGGTGATACCTCGCTTGGCTGCTGTGAGGCGAACTACGGGATCCAGGTCGGGTATCTACAAACAAGCGTCATTGAACTGCTTGATGTAGCTCCGGATGGACTCCCCTTCCTTTTGCACTATGTCGAGGAGGCTCTCCTGAGTTCGCGGACACCTTTTGCTGGTGACGAAGTGGGAGGTGAAAACTTGCATGAACTGCACCCAACTTCTTATCGAGCTGAGCACGAGGTTTCGGTACCAGGTGAAGGCTACTCCTCTGAAGGTGGTGAAAAAGGCCATGCACATGCAGGACTCACTGGCTCTTGCCAGGTGCATCTGGGACTGGAAGGCGTCTACATGGTCACTTGGATCGAAAGACCCATCATACTTATCCAGAGGAGGGAGCTTAAAGTCACTTGGCATGGGGACAACAAGGAGTTCTGGAGATAACGGGGAAGAAACTGAGAGGAGAGGGGTAGCTTTCACTTCACCTGAGCATACCTCCTCTTTTCCTTTGAGCTTAGGAGAGACTCGGGTAGCAGTTCGGCGAGCTTGTCGGCGTCTTCGTTGTTGCTTCACTAGCTCGGCGTTGGTGCTTGATGCTTCAATGTCGCCGAGCTCGACGGGCTCAGACTATTGGTGGTGACTCTGGACCGAAGGGCCTTGCCTATAGTCCGCGGCCAGGACCTCGAACAGATTCTCCGCGAGTGGGAGCTCGAACTGTGAAGGCCGGGGCGATACAGGCTTGGTTGGCTGGGAAGCCCCGGACCTGCCCACAGGCTACGAGGCGGGGGTAGTTGGCCCCTGCTTGCTATGGGAAGAGGCTTGGCTCTTGGCAGGATCCTGGGCCTGGGAGGCCTCTTCCTGGCGGGGTCGCTCACTTTGGTGGGAGGGCTTGGTCTGCTTTGTGGCTGGATGTCAAGGGGGAAGCGATGGCTGGGCCTGAGACAGAGAGGGGAACTGCTGCTGGTATTGGTATTGAGAAACCTGGTGTAGCACTTGTTGTTGGTAAAGTTGGAATTGTTGAAATTGTTGCATTTGAGCCTGCATGGCTCGCATGCATTGCATCAAGTCCTCCAACTGGTTCGGGTTGGCCGCTAGGGGCACAACTGAGGGTTCAGCAAAGGTTGCCCCAACTGTGGAAGGGAGTGGAGCAACCGCGGGTGTCACTGTAAGAGGCACGTTCAAGCTGGGGACTCCGTCCACGGAGAGGGGGATGGTGAGCTGTCCAATACAGACAATAGGAAGTTGGGGTTGTTCCCTGGAAGCGTTTTGGCAGGTACCACGTCCAGCGTTATTGGAAGAAGCCATGAATGCTTACTTTTTGGAAAAAGAAACTATAAAAGCTTAGAGGAAGGCTTTTAGAAGCGTTTCCCACAGACGGCGCCAAATGATGCGGCACGATCCGGACACTCCTAGCTGGCTGCTGACTAGCTTCTTGTTGGCAACGGACGACACCTGAGAAGACGAAGAAGAAGGATTCCCGGGGATTTTTCTGGCATGAATACTCCGAAGCTTAAGTTAGAACGCTGGAGAGGAAGAAAAGAGTGTAAAAGGCTAAGAGTGTAGGTCACGCTAAATCATTGTGCTTGTGAGCAAGTAAGATAATTCAAGTTCTAATGAAAATTCCAGAGTGAGTGAATGTGTCTCTCCCCTTCGCCTAAAAGGGTTTTATAGGGGCATCCTTGTCAAATCGGGCATAACCGCCACTGGGCTCCTGTTGCAGCCGTTACCTGCCAGGTCTGCGCAAGTGATCGTTATAGTGTACTATCCGCTTGGTTGAGTGACACATCCCAAAGCGCCAGGCACGCCTCCATCTGTCGAGAGATGTGGGTGCAAGCTGTAGAAAGGACAAGGACTGCTCCGCTAGTCGAGAGACGTAGCACAGTCTGACCGGTATAGTCTTGTCAGATGTAACCTTCCTGAGAGCGTAGCATCACTCAGTCGCAAGTTACTTTGTAGCGAGCTATCCTTGCCGCGAGCTACTTTGTAGCAAGCTCTTAGGGGTACTTCGAGGTGACCATCATCAAGGTTGGTCTTTGGGGCAGTTCTTCTGCTCAAGTGCTAGAGCGAGCTGGTTTCCCTAGCTCACGAGCTGAAATAGTCCTGGAGTATTCCCTTCTTAGTAGTTCGGAGTACCTAGAGCTCGCGTTGTAGCGAGCCCTCCCTATGGCGAACTATAACATAGCGAGCTGCTCTACAGGCTCGTTACTTAGTTGTGATCAGGCCATGATGCTGAGCTGTTGTTCGTGCTGAGTCAGGTCCACATGTCATCGTCTCAGTAGGTTGGGTCAAATCATCCTCCATCAAACAATGTTGTGAAACAACGAGCTCTTGACAATGCTTTAGTATGGAATTGATCTTATGAATACCGACCACATGTGGTTAGGCCTATCGATGATACCCAAAAATTTGAGGCCCAATTCAACATTCAATCCGATTATCTCAGATTCAGATGACATATTTATGTAATCATATTCAGATTTTGGAATTTGCTTCCGATTAATAATCACATAAGATTCGGATTTGACCCCATTTCATCCTATTAAAATCTGAATCCGTTTATATTGTAATATTTATTGATTTTCAAATAATATATATAAAGATTAGAGCAGAATCAAATTAAATCCAAATCCGAGCCAAAACTGTTCGGATCCAAATTCGAATCCGAAGTGTTCAAATCCAATTGAATTTAGGATTGGATTCGGATGTTAAATTTCAATAGTTGGATCGGATTCAGATTTTGCTAAATCCGGTCCAATTACAACCCTACATATAGCCGATTCCTAAATGCCTAGTAATGCTTTCTTATGGAGTCGATATTATGAAAATTGGAATTGCTTATTTTAGTAGCTGATATCAAAAGGGCGTATTGTTGGGTATCACGTGTGTCAATTTTGTTGGACTGAGGAAGCCTCCTTTGTAGGACCCGAATTAATAATGGGAATGCATTGAATAGCATGAAATGGGTATTTTCATAAAAAAAAGTGAATGTGTTAAATATAAATTACATATGCCTAATAGAGGGGTTTGGGTGGCATTTTAATTTTACCGTTGGGTCTCATCAGCTGGGTTGATTATTTGAGCTTGGTTCTGTAGAAAAATGCAATGCTTAATCTCGGGTTCGAGCTTATTCTAATTAGAAATAAAAGGTTGAGTTCGGCTCAATTACAGAATGGTTGTGTTCAAGCTCGATAATGAACCAAGCTTATTCGAGCTCAAATTTGAATTCGAATTCGAGCTCAAATTTGAATTCGAAATCGAGCTTTCTGAAACATAGTTCTTTTTTAAACACATAAAAAGARCTCATGGTTTGCTCCAGATTCAAGAACATTATGCTCTGTCTTATCTAAGCCGGTTGATCAAGAACCTGATATACCAAAAACAAGTGAAGGGGCATTTGCACATCATCACAGGTGTGCAAATTAAACGAAGATGACAAATTAACAATAAAAAGTCAAATAACTATAAAAACTAAGAAAACCCTAAACCTAGGACAGAATGAGAAGATGATAAAGAAGAAAAAGCAAACCTAGATCTGTCCCTCTTTAACGATTTGAACAAGTTCTTAGTTCTGATCCTCGTCTTTGTCTCGCCTCCGACGTCCGTAGTGACCGACTGACTGTGAGTGTGCGTTAGAAGTTTGTGAGAGGTTACGGCCTGCGACCTACGGCTATGAGTCAGGACTGCAATCTACGACTCTGCGAGAGCGAGAGACTGAGAGCTACAGTAAGAGACTGAGACTGAGAGATTGAGAGGAGAGGAGAGAGGACAGACTAACAGAGCCACAGAGGAGAGATGGAATGCGAGAATGATAAACTGAGAGCTGTGGTGAGAGGCTGAGAGCTTGAGAGGAGAGGAGAGGAGAGACAAGAGAGGACAGAGGAAACTGAGGTGAGGTCTGAGATGGAGTGGGTCTGGGTAGGTCGAATAAGGTAAGTGATTTTTATTTCTGAAATTGCCACCGTGTATAAGAGACCATGATTATAAAATATTATCACCAATAAAATTTATTAAAAATATATAATATATAATAATATAAATTATATATATAATTATATGTATACCGAATTTCAGAATGCTTGAGCTCGGCTCGATAATTAAATGAATATAATAAGAAGCTCAAATTCAGCTCGAAGCTTGATTTGGGCTGAGCCCAGCCGAACCAAGCTCCAATGAATCTTGAAAAACTCGACTCGTTTCCACAGTCCACCCCTAATTAGGGGTTTTCATTTTGTGACGGAGGGCTAAGTGTCATTTGGCCTTTCATCATACTGGCATATTTCTTAGTTGGACTCATTTTCTGTGGGCCCTGATATTTTGATTCTGAATTTTTGCCACTTGGTAAGTTAGAAGTGCTACTACAACTAATGGTCCTATCTCCCCATGTCCCAACCAATCTCTCTTAGGTGGGATTTATATATCCATTGGCAGGTCTGAACCCTTCTAAACACACACCCAATATATTTGTAGCATCTCATAGATAAACAAATAAAAGTACAAGTCAATGACATGCCACACAGGAATATAACACATGATATTAGTGATAATAGAGGTGTCAATGGGTTGGGTCTGATCCGATTGAACCAATTATACTTGAAATTATAATTACCTATGATAATAACAATTTTAAACATTATTTTTGATAATATAGTTTTAACAAAAATGATTGTATCGATAAAACAAGTGTTTTAACCAAAATTATGCTATATACAATCTTTAAAATTTACCCTTTTGTATATAAAATATAAAATACAAAATATAACAAAAACTACAAGAAAACTAGAGACCTCTATATAATTAACTATATAATTGATTGCAACAGCATGAATCGGTGGACTACTCCTATTATATATTAATCAAGACTAAATCAGAGAGCCAGAATCAGTAATTTGGTTCGATTCTGACGGATAGACGTAATCCATTGACAGCCTTACATGATATTGTGTAAAACTAATCTCAATTTCTCATTAACCAATTTGCCATCAGACTTCATATTTGATCTACACTTTCTATTTAACTGAAATTTTGTAAATGGTTCAACTATGATACCGAAAAGACATGATACTGGAAATATTTACAGTCAACCAACTTGTATCATAAAAGAGGTGATCAATTAGATAGTTTTCATCAAAATTCACGGTGTGATTTAATTGGTCAAATTTCTTCTGGTACAATGTTTTTCTAGTATCATAGATTCTCCATTTTGTTAAATACAAAGTCTACCCTTTAGCCTTGGACTCCGAAGCTTCTCTATAACTCTAAAGCTTCTTTGGAGGATGATAAAGGCTCTATTGTCACGGGGGTAATTCTACAGCGGAAGAAACCCGTGCGGCGTCTAGGCCAAGGCAGGTCAGGACAAGCCTTTGTGTGACGCGAGGCTAGGAGTTGCCCGATGAGATGGCTCCACCAAGGTCAGTAGCACTGGATCATGACCTCAAGTCGCATGGCCGGGGCACTCGACTGGCTCTGGCCAATCCATGGGAGGCACCGCTTACGTGCTAAAGGGGGAAGGCCAAGATGTGAGGCGATTGGGCGTTGATGTGATGGGTCTCCTATATGCTGATGATGCAGGCACCTGTGTGCCATGTTGATAGGCAACCGTTTGGGCCGGAACACACCCATGCTCTATGGGCAATGGGATAGCTCACTCAACTTGGGCAAGGGATGGCGTGGTGAAGGGTCATACTTGAGCCAAGCCCGCATGTCAAGCCTCCCTTGAGTGTTGGTGGCGCAGTGCTGGTCCATGCATTGTTCCCATGAGCATGTGTGCGCCCATGACGAACCCTGGTAGCCATGCTAGCCATTAACCAGGGCCGCCCCGCAAGGGATGGAGGTCTAGGAGTGCCAAGGTTAGGCACCCAAGGAGGTCGACCACCCCTCCTCAAAGAGTACATTAAGCTTTTGGAGGTTTTCCTGAAGTTAACATCACTTTTCCCAAAAATCTTACAAGCAAAAATGACGATGGTGTCCCTTAATGTAATCCTGCCAAGCGTAAGCAAGGCTAAGCCTGTGTCAAACCGTGACAGGCTCCCCCACTCAATCCATTGTCGTCCTCGACAATGGCTCTTCTTGTGAATGGGCGTCTGTGTCCCGCACCATCCACTTTTGTGCCAGTTCCTGGGCTCGCCTGGCCAACCCGAGTCTCACCTATATTGGTGTCCATTTATGGGGACTAAACCATTTCACCATGTCGGCCTGCCTGGACTTCACCCTCTGTGTTGAGGTTACTCAAACCACGCAATGACTATGTCGTTGAAATGTGTGAGAAGGGCCCTTGAAGAAATTGGATGTGTTTGATTCGCGGAGGTCCACCCCATGTATCATCTTTACCTCAAGGCCCGACTGTCTTCTTGGTAGCTTTTCGGTGGTGCTACCAAACACGATGTGATAGGTCTACTCCTATTGTTGGCAATGTGTCCTGGGTACCCTTTCACCATGCTGGCCTGCAAACTTCACCTCGTCGTGTGCGGGTTACTCAAACCTAGTCATGGTTTATGCTCTGTTGGCCCTCGAAACTATACTTCACCTCCCCAGTTCGGGCTACATCTTCACTTCGAGGGGGCCCCAATGTACTGCTGCCTCAAAGAGATCTAACCACAATATGCGCGAGTGTGGCAACTTTTACCCATGATGTTGCCGAACATGCACTCGCCTTGTGATGGGTGATTTCTACTGCAAGTATTCCACATGTTTGTTGAATTGAACATGTCCTCTGATGCTTTGCCGGTGTAGGGCCGCCATGCTCCAACGGCTAATGTACCCACATTCCTATCATTCCAATATTGTGGCTTCAACCGAGGACCCATGATGCAAAACTGCCACCTTAGTGGTATTCCTTGACCAACCGTGACACCAACCAATTCGAACTGTTGTCCCTGCCTTAGTAGTGCCTCTAACAAGCTATGGAACAATGGCTCATCCGTTATGAAACCAAAGTGTAGGCGCACCACTCACAACTCACTAAAATGAACAACAATTGATGTCCGTGAAGAAGCATGGCACTCCCCCACTCAAACCACAATATGCCTTCCATGAAAGGCTCATGCATCTACCCCCACATGAGCACAACAACCAATGCGTCTGCCCCCACAAGGGTGTTATTTTTGGGGTCATTGGAATGGGGACACGAATGAATGGCCTCTTGCCAGGCCTGATATGAATTCTTGCTTGAACTCGAGTGGAAGTGCCTAGGGACCGCACCCCACGATGTGCTGCTTGTCGAGATGACCGCTTCAACTGGCTCTATGCTAATATGCTTTGACACCAACTACGGTAGCAGTTGGCTAGTTCGCTCTAATACCAACTGTCACGGGGGTAGTTCTACAACGGAAGAAACCTGTGCGGCATCCAAACCAAGGTAGGCCAGGACAAGCCTTTGTGTGATGTGAGGCTAGGAGTTGCCCGATGAGATGGCTCCATCAAGGTTAGTAGCATTAGATCATGACCTCAAGTCGCATGGCCGGGGCACTCAGCTGGCTCTGGCGGGTCCATGGGAGGCGCCGCTTACGTGCTAAAGGGGGAAGGCCAAGATGTGAGGCGACTGGGCGCCGATGTGATGGGTCTCCTGTTTGCCAATGGTGCAGGCACTTGTGTGCCATGTTGATAGGCAACCGCTTGGGCCGGAACACACCTATGCTCTATGGGCAACAGGATAGCTCATTCAGCTTGGGCAAGAGGCTGGCATGGTGAATGATCATACTTGAGCCAGGCTCGCATGTCAAGCCTCCCTTGAGTGTCGGTGGCACAGTGCCGGTCCATGCACTGTCCCCATGAGCATGTTTGCGCCCATGAGGAACCTTGGTAGCCATGCTAGCCATTAGCCAGGGCCACCCCACAAGGGATGAAGGTCTGGGAGTGCCAAGGTTAGGCACCCAAGGAAGTCGACCACCCCTCCTCAAAGAGTACGTTAAGCTTTTTGAGGTCTGCCTGAAGATAATATCACTTTTCCCAAAAATCTTATAGGCGAAAATGACGATGGTGTCCCTTAACATAAGCCTGCCAAGCATAGGCAAGGCTAAGCCTGTGTCAGACCGTGACACTATGGCATGGGGGAGGACAAAGCCATAGCCCAGGACTCTGATCTCAATGACCAGCTAGGCACTGTGGTCAACAACCGGTTCACCTAGTGGTCAAACCACCACCTACCATTTAGTGACCAAGATGAGCCCGTAAAAAACTTTCAGGTAAGGATGAGCGTCTAAATTCCTCTCCTATTTTTTGAAGGGTAAATTTCTTAAACTATCCTTATGGTTTAGCTAATTGACTTAGTGCATCCTTACTATTTGAAAATTGACTAACGCTACCCCTACTATTTCTAATAATTGACTAACTCTACCCTTACTGTTAAGGTACGTCAATATTTGTCAAAACTCATTCACACGTGATATATATATATATATATATATATATTTTTTTTTTAACCCAATTTTACCCTCACCTCCCTCCCCCTCTTTCTCTCTCTCCCCTTCTTTTTCCGGCTAGGTTCAGGCATAGAGTAACAGGACATGAGAATCAGCTCATGCTGAAAGAAGGGGTTTCACCATGCTCTTCGTCTTGCTAAAGCTATCCGAAATTCCCAACCCCGATGACCACTACAACATTGTTAAAGCTCTTTGTCTTGCAATGACTGCCCCACCACTGCAACTCTCCCACCACAATCTCCTCTCCCTCCCTTTCTTTCTCTCTCCTATCCGCTGCTCTGGTTAGACCGCCACCGACAGCCCCTTTCCTCTCACCGTCAGAAACCCTGTTGCATTTCAATGGCGACAATATTCCTAAACTCAGAAACCCTGTTGCCCCGCTCAGTACGAACTATGACAAATTGTGTCCCTGAATTCTAAAGGAAGCCCAAGGTCAGTCCTCAAATGAACAATCTTCTCTAACAGAATCCGCTTC